TTTCAACCTCGTACCCAGGATCTTTCTTTGGGAAAGACCCTGGCTGCGGCTGGTCACGTGCCTCATCAAAAATTTAGCGCCCGAGGGGGTGTGGGGAAAGTATCAAATTACATAACACGCTTCCAGTTGGATATTCGTTAAAAACATAAATTTTGCGAATTATTACATTCAAAATACTTGCTAATTTTTGTTTATTTTCTTTGCTTTGAATTTACAAGAACATTCTTACATTCTTACTTACAGTCAAATCAAAGAACCCAAGCAAATCGTTACTCGCAGTGCTCGAGTCTCGTGTTGTTACTCAATGCATGCTCTCTTCACACTCGAGCGCGGTTTAGTAACAAACGTTTATTGTAATGTTTTTAAAATACGCCATTACATTCGTCCTTTCTTGTAAACGTTGATACGCTTGGCACCGATTCATTTGTTACTACGTTTACGCGTCTTGTTTATAAGATTTTTAAAAGAAACAGTATTGTCTAGGACTGGCCCAATATTAGCAAATGTAAACATTTGATATAAATAGCTGAACAGAGAAATGTCCATAAGCATATAGGAAATTTCAGTCATTGATTTACATGGATTTAGTACATAATTCGTATTCGGTAATTATAGTAAGATTTAGCCTTTTTGTTGGTCTCTATTAATCATTATATTGTGCCAACATACTATAATCTATATCACAAATTTACAGTGTCAGATGCGCACAGACAGTCATTGGCGTCATACGAACAGACATAAATTTTCGAGTTTTCTACTTCTACTAACATTTTTAAAGTTTCATTGTGAATCACCTGTTTATCTCTAATTCATTAATCATTTGCTACTTTTAATATATTTATTTGATAGTGCCATATAGTGAATAATGCGTTTGCACACAAGCAATCCTGGATATGATATAGACGATGCAAGCTGTCCATGAAAAAATAACGGTATTCTATTTCACAAAGCAAAAAATTAAATCTCACTTGTATTATTAAGAATGCATATAAGCAAAAAATAAAAGCTTATTCATGTCAAATTAACGAAAGCTGTTTACAAAATTTATAAAGGTGGTGAACACTACTAAACAGTGCTCATATTTGAAAGACATGTATAATATATAGTGACATATAATTTGTCGTTTGACTTATCTTTGGTGTATGATTTTAATTTTAATACCGTAGATTTTCAACAGACAGCTATACTTTGACATATACCACGTCCATGATCGTTGGTTTCAGCAATGCAAAGGGCTTTAAGTTTTTTTTGATAAGGTCTTTATATAGATCAACAATCTGGATACAGTTGGCGATATTTCGGAAATCAAAAGATCTCGCTATTTCGTTGCAATTCCACATCTCATCAATAAATAAATTCTTTTGGTCCGAGTATCAGGATAGACTTTAATACTAAATAAATAACAACCACACTGTTCGGTCTGGAGATACATATTTTCCTGTAGGTTTAATATTGCCACGCTGCACAAGCGGCAAGCCGCCGCAAGCGTGATTTCTTTGGCAAGTCTATATTAAATGAAATCTGATCCAACTTGCTTGAATTGTAACTCGACACCAGATTATAGAGTAGAACGTCACGATATAAATATTAATTTAAGAGTTCTCTTTACGATTTCTTGTTGCAAATTTACAGTACATTTCATCACCCACAATTGCAATTTTAAAACGCTACAAACACGCTCCTTTCCCACCCCTCTCACAGTTACAATTAAATTTACCTCCCAGAATCTGGGAGGCACGTGACCAGCCGCAGCCAGGGTCTCTCCCAGATGACAGACGGAGAGACCCTGGGAACGAGGTTGGGTTCTTTCTTTTCCAGTATCATGAATCATTCCACATCCACATTCAACTCTTTATGGTCATCCGTTCAGAGCAAACTTCCGAAAAACATTTTTAACTTCACCATCCGATATATCAATAACACACTTCCAACACGAAAGAACCTATCAAAATGGGGACTATCATCAACATCCGATTGCTCTTTCTGCTCCTCACCTGAAACGCTGCTCCATGTGATTGCTGGATGTAAGACATATTTAGACGAAGGCCGGTTTACATGGCGGCACGATTCTGTTTTAAATTTCCTCGCATCCACTCTTACTGCTGTGAAAAATTCCACACTTTACGCGGACATTCCTGGTTTTATGAATCCATCTGTTATCACGGGAGATCGTTTACGACCTGACCTTCTGCTGGTGACTGAAAACAGATGTTTATACATCCTCGAGCTTACAGTCGGTTATGAATCCAATCTGCAAGTTAACGCCAATCGCAAGCGTCAAAAGTACCGTGATCTAATCAATGAGCAGGAAGCAGATTATGATAAAGTCAATTTCGTCAATTTATCCTTAAGTACCTTCGGAGTTTTTGGCCGATCTTCTGAAAATTTCGATGGCATGCTAAGTAGCCTTAAATGTGATGCCAAGTATAGTAAATACATAAAGAAGCAAATCGTGAACATATGCATACGAACATATTATGTATTTTCTAAAAGAAACAAGGTGTGGGATAACCCAAAATTAATGTTAATATAATCCTTCTTAAAATAATTATTGTACAATAAATATATAGTATCAATTCAAGTAGACATTGATAAACTACCTGTAAAGCGAGGTTTATCATTGTAGTTGTGTATATCCTAATAATCAATAAATAAAGTTTCCATTATTATTATTATTATTAATGTTAAACACTCCCAGAAGGGGTTTTCAGTGTTCAATACAGAAGTTATAAAAAGTAATTACTTAATTAAATTATATTCTAAAAACTATATAATATACTATTAACACCAAAATATATAATATCAAGCTAGTTATATTTGAGCTCTTGTACTTAAAGACCTCAGTTATATCTCCGAGACGAATTTCCATCAATTATGGATCAAATTACAGCACAAAAAATCTAAATCACTGTTGGTCTGTGTCTCTTATCGACCCCCAGACAGCCCGCTTGACTGCTTCGAAAAATATTTTAAACCTAATTATGTTCATGCTCTGACGATGGGAAAGTTGATCATTCTTCTTGGAGACCTAAACTGCGATATGCTTAAGCCCACACCTGGATCAGCGTCTTTGATCAAGACGACAAAAGAACTCAACCTTAACCAGTTAATAAAATCACCAACAAAAATTACTGAATCCAGTCAGACCCTCGTCGACGTTATTTTCGTATCCTCGCCAAGACTAGTAGTCAACAGCGGCGTCATAGAAACCTGTATCAGCGATCATTTCCCTGTGTATGTATCACTAAAACTTAAAACCGACAAATCTCCACCAAACTATATCACTACCCGCAGCTACAATAAATACGACCCTGATTTGTTCGCGATCGATCTGGCATCCAACCGTGATCGTCTTGTTTCCATTTTCAGAATGGACAATGTTGATGAAAAACTAACCATTTTTAATGAAATATTTTTAAATACATTGGATAAACACGACCCAGTAAAGTCCATATAAGTACGCGGAAAATCTTGCCCATTTATCACCCCGGAAATAAAAGCATCCATGATCAAAAGAGACCAGCTCCACAGTCTTTTCAGGAAAACACGTGATCATTATGATTGGCTTAATTTCAGAGAGGCCCGCAATTTTACAAAAACCGCACTTGTTAATGCACAGAAAGAATATGTACTGAAGGAAGTTCAGCAACACAGAAACAATACTGGGTCACTTTGGAAGGTAATTAAAGAAAATATAGCGGATAGGGAAAGAGAGTCGGTGGTCTACAGTAAGGAACCGAAATTAGTGGCCGAAGAGTTTAATCATTTCTTTTCCACCATTGGTGTGAATGCAGCAAAGAAAGCCTCAACCCTAATACAAGATCCTAGTGTTTATCCAGCTCGGAATCTTTCTGACGTAAATCGCACAGATAACAGCTACCCTGAAGAAAATGATAGATTTAGTTTCACCCCAGTCTCTTGTTCAGAAATAAGGAACATCATATTAGCTATGCCGTCAAACCAATCACCCGGCAAAGACAAAGTGAGTATGCGTGTCATCAAACACAGCCTACCGGTAATTCTTGGGCCCCTCACCGATATCATTAACTGTTCACTGTCGTCATCTTCGTTCCCTATAGCATGGAAAGAGGCAGAAGTTATCCCTTTGTTAAAGGATGGAAACCACGAGGAAGCATCAAATAACCGCCCACTTTCTCTCCTTACCTTTCTTTCGAAAATTTGTGAAAAAGTCGCCTTGAATCAATTTGGTTCGTATCTAACGAAGAACAAAAAATTGTCAACCCACCAGAGCGGGAACAAGAAACATCACTCATGCGAAACATTGAATCTTTTGACCGGAGATACTATCCTAAAGGCCATGGATGGGAAATTGGTTACTGCACTGATTCTAATAGATCTATCTAAAGCTTTCGACAGTGTAAATCATACTTTTCTCCTTACAAAACTTAGCAACGTCGGGGCTTCTCCAAGCGTTGTAAAATGGTTTGAGAGTTACTTGACCGGAAGAACTCAATCAGTCAGAATTGGATTTACTGTGTCTACTCCTCTCCCTGTTTTTTATGGTGTACCACAGGGTGCAATTTTATCACCTTTACTTTTTAGTATTTATACTAACGATTTGCCCTCATCAGTCCACCATAGTAAACTTGAATCGTACGTGGACGACTCCAAGATATTACTATCTTTCACTGTGGCTAACGCGGACTGTTTAAAGCAACAACTTGAGGAAGACTTGTATTTGATTGCAAACAGTTGTTCCGAAAATGAATTGCTTATTAACCCGGGAAAGACCAAATACATGCTGATTGGCACACGGCAAAACCTACAACAACTTCCCGTAGATATGACCATAAACTTCCTCAACGAGACTATTACCCAAAGATCTAGGAATGACAATCGACTCTTATTTGACATATGACCAGCATATCACCAACCTGGTTTCCTCATGTATGAATTCCCTGTGCCAAATAAACCGAGTCAAAAAATGTTTCGATAAAGAAGCTTTAACTCTCATCGTCTCGGCACTTGTAATGAACAAAATGTTCTATTGTTCAACGGTTTGGTCAAACACTTCGTCTACCAACATTAAGAAACTACAGTTGGTACAAAATTTTGCATGCAGGATAATAACAAATATTGGAAAGTTCGACCATATTTCGCCGGGCTTACGTGAACTTAACTGGCTCCCAGTAAAGGAACAATTACTACTAAGAGAGGCTATTATGATGTACAAATGTGTCAATGAACTTGCTCCACATTATTTGAGCGATTTATTCACAAAACGTTCTGACATTCATCAACGAGATACACGTAGCCATGACTCACTGCAAATACCATTGTACAAAACTTCTGCAGGTCAAAGGTCCTTTCATTATAGAGGCGTTACACTCTGGAATGATTTGGACATAAAGTACAAAAAGTTAGACTCCCTAAAAACTTTCAAAAACGAACTGAAGCGAAGCATGCTAGAACAAATATATATGTAGATAATCTTACCTTGTTAAACTTTATACAAATGTCTTACCTTTTTACCTTAATTTAAATTCTATAGATTCTAAAACTTGTAAATAGAACAACATTTATTTTTGTAAATCAGTGTTGAAAATCCCTATTTAGGGAACACAATAAAGTATGTATGTATGTATGTATTTAAGGTAAAATACTTATTAATACTATTTAATTTAAAATTTAGTCAGTAAAAGATGTAATTCAGTTCTGTTCATCGAGAAATTGTTGAACCAAATAACTTCGTAGCCCGCTTTTAAAACGTTCCAAATTAAGATTATCGTCTTTTAGCCATTCTGGCAAACTGTTCCATAAACAAGAAGCTCGGTAGCGAAAAGAACGTCCGGTCGCTGTTCTACAGGGTGTATCAAAAAAAGCGCAATCCTCGACTGAAATGTAAATTGCTAAACAAATAATAGACGAAAACGTTAAAGTTTACATTCATTTTAAAGCGTAGCCGTTCAGCTTTCTAACAGTGGGTTGTTTCTTAAATTTGACTCATTGCTTCGCGGGTAATAATACTTTACGTTATTGCGATTGGAGATTAAAAAAATTGAGATGGAATAACAAATCGTTCTCATGAAAATAACTGATTTTTTCATTAAAACAAACAAATGTTGCATTTTATTAAATGGATTGTAACAATAAGTATAATTACGGCTTTTCTTCCACTATTTTTAACACAGTTTGAAAATTCAAATGCGATATAATTTTGGCTTGGACCATCTAAGCTGACTGACATCAGCTTGCTATAATTTCTGTTTACATTACATCGCAATTCGATGACACTCTGGCTCAGACACCAGAATGTTTTGATTCTATGATTTTTAGCATTCGTTTGGGATTTTCAAACAACCTGGTCTCTTTTAAAATACTTTTAATTTGTTCTTACGTGGTTTTCCAGATGTAGTGACGACAACATTAAAGTTTAAAGAAGAAAATTCTAACATTTAAACCGACTAAACAATAACATATAGTAAACTTGCATAATTAAACAGCAACTAAAAATGATAGGTTTTACTAAAATCTTTTCCTGTGCAATTATTACTAGCATTGGAGACAAGGATAATAGTTTATTTGAAAGAGAAAAGAACAGGCTTTGAAGTAAGCCTAAAAGCGTTTAACTAGAAATAGTATTTCGAAAGTTATTAAGCACAAAAGATGAATTGCGTTTATTTTGATACACCCTGTATATAAAGGTATTTCCAATAATTCGCTAGATCTTGTGTTCAAATTGTGTAATTGTGATCTTGTTTGGAACATACGACATAAATATGATGGGGCAATACCATTAACACATTTATAAGCCATTACTGTATCTCGGAATCGCAACATATAATTGACTGGTAACCAGTTAAGCTGTTTTAAAGATGGAGTGATATGGTCGAATTTTTTTGTGCCCGTGACAATACGTGCTGCGAAATTCTGAACTTTTTGCAATTTTGCAATGTTTTTCTTCGATGAATTAGACTATATGGTTGAACAGTAATAGAGTTTACTAAAAACCAGCGCGTTTATTAAAAGAATTAACGTCTTCATATCAAAAAGGTGCCTTGCTCTATTAATTTAACACGTCAGGCTACCGACACAAGAGGAAACCAGTTTTGTGACGTGTTATATATATATATATATATATATATATATATATATATATATATATATATATATATATATATATATATATATATATATATATATATATATCGTTTTTTTGTCCGGATATCGTTTGCCCGGATATCGTTTTTTGTCCCGGATATCGTTTTTTGTCCCGCTAAATTTCGCGCCTTGCCAAAACAAAGATGGCCGACTCGAGGTTCGTGTTGGTTGATGTCGACAGTTTATCGAAGAAAACAAGAACGATAATACAAAACGAAAGACTTAAATTGTATATTATTTATATGAATGGTCTATTTATTTTCTAAAATCATATTTGTTCAGTAAATGATGAATTGTTTTGAATTCCAAAATGATCCTATTTTTTCAAAACTGTTTACTTTTGGGTGTCAAACCCTGATAAAGGTACAAGTATATAATAAATAGGTTATCGTACTCGGGATTCGGTGATATATGTTTTATCGCTCTCGGTACGATATCACAATTGTCCCTCGCTCGCTGCGCTCGCTCGTGACAATTGTGATATCATCCCTCGAGCGATAAAACTGATATCACCTCATCCCTTATATGATAACCTATACATATATATATATATATATATATATATATATATATATATATATATATATATATATATATATATATATATATATATATATATATATATATATATACAAGGATGGAAATTGTCAACTAAAGACAAGCATGTAGTAGCTAGAACATTTCCCGGGTCTTTAAAACCATGTCGATTTCTTGGGAAATTCCGAGGTTGCGTTTTTTTTTATACACCCTGTACATTGATTGATATATTTATAACGAACAATAAAGAAACTATTGTTCATTCGGGCGTTTATCTCATTATCTATTAGCGATCATTGTCTAATTTATGCCGTCAGAAAAATTGGCATATCTAAAAACAAACCGAAGTTTATCACGACTCGTAGTTTTAAACATTTCAATGAGGAAAAGTTTAAGACAGATTTAAGTAAAGTTGATTGGCCTGTGATTGATATGTTTGATGATGTCGACAAGGCATGGGACAATTGGAAAGATAAATTTATATCAATTGTCGACAATCATGCGCCACTAAGAACTATACGTGTAAGAAATAAACCAGTTCCTTGGATTAACAATACGATCAAATTTCAGTTGTATCAAAGAGATATGCTGAAGAAAATTGCTAAGCGTACTGGAAAGCCGGACGATTGGACCAACTATAAGAAAGCTCGCAATAAAACAAATTCAGACGTGATCACTGCGAAACGTCGTTGTTATCAAAATAAATTAAACGAGTTTAAAGACGACTCAAAAGGTACTTGGAAAACGTTAAATAGTCTTATCGGCAAACCATCCAAAAATACTGAAATTAATGAAATTAAAATTCCTTCAAATGTTAACGACACTTTAACAAACGCATGCGATATTTCTAATCATTTTAATAAATATTTTTCACAAATTGGAGCAAAGCTTGCTGCTGAAGTTCCAGATTATAATGTTGATCCGACAAAATATTTAAAAAAAGCAAATTCGTCTTTTGCTTTTGTCGAAATAAAACCCGAAGAAGTTTTAAAATTATTGAAGAAGCTCGACATTTCTAAGGCCACTGGTCTAGATAATATTTCGAACAAGATATTAAAAATCGCAGCACCTTGTATTTATGGACATCTTGCCAGCCTATTTAATTTATCCATTAAGCATAATGTTTTTCCAATTGAGTGGAAATCAGCAAAGGTTCTTCCTATCTTTAAATCCGGTGAACGCAGTGACTCAAATAATTATAGACCAATATCTGTTTTCAGTGTTTTGCTTGGTATTTCTACGTTATTTGAGAGATTGGTCTATAATCAGATTTATGCATATCTAATGAAATTTGATCTAATTAATTCAAGGCAATTCGGTTTTAGGTCACTGCATTCAACTGTAACTGCATTACTGGATTTAACTAACCAGTGGTATTATAATATTGATAGAGGTATGATCAATGGTGCCTTATTTTTAGATTTAAAAAAGCTTTTGACACTGTTGATCATAATATATTATTAACCAAATTAAGTTTTCTTGGAATCTGTGATAAAACATTACATTGGTTTAAATCATATTTTACTGATAGAACTCAACAATGTTATGTTAATGGTTATTTATCTGGTAAAGTGCAGGTCAAAAGTGGAGTTCCCCAAGGTTCAGTTCTAGGTCCTTTATTATTTCTTGTTTATATAAATGATTTGACGACTTCTGTTAAGTTAATTAATCTTTGACGGCAAGACGGTTTCGCAATACATTACGACTTAATTTTTCTATTGTAAATATCTCGGCGAGTATTTACCCCCCTTTTAAATAAAACCCACCATTGAAATCCTCACAAAATAACCTTTCGAACGGGGCGTCAAGTGCCGTCAAAACATTACACAAACCGAAACAATCATATATTTACTCACCGCTTGGCCAAAGATTTTGAATTTCATATCCAGATAATCTTGAATATCTCTTGAACTTTTCGTCATTGTCTGAGCGGCTATATGTGTAAAATACTCTTTGTATTCAAGCGCTTTCGTGTACAAAATTTCGTTTGAATACGGCGAGTAGAAATATTTATTTTGAATTTTTCAAGGATGCGGGTTTTACTCGCACTTGCGTACATCGCGCAATAATTGGCCAATAAGAAGCTCCTGTGGCCGGGATGACGTCAAACTCACGCGTGTAGGTGCAATCTGACCTTGCGAACCATTTCTGGCCTTTGCAGGGTCATACGATACAAGCTTCGAATTGTTTTGACGGTTTTCTGTCGTACTTCCGGTTGGGATTAACTCACTTCAAGCTCACAGTCGGACAAGAAATGGAAATATATTGATAAAATATACAAATTTGAAGATACAGGCTTGCAAATAACACTCTAAATAGTGTTTTTAATGGGGATTCGAACAAGACTATTACAAAGACGATATGTTCGAAGGGGCCGAAGTTATTTTCGGCGAAAGGTATGGCTAAGTTTATATTTTTGTTCAGACAATTGCGTAATTTGATACAATATGATCGTGTTTGACTTCAAAGGCCCATAAATCGCTACAATATTGATAATGGCTATAGCTATAGTGACGAATTAGTTGAATCTTTTATTTCTGAATCGAATGGTGGTATTTCTGTCTTCATAGCATGCACCGAACCGAAGATATGAACATCCAATCATTCATCCGCTAGCGGATGAATGATTTGGGATTTGCCGTGCAGATGATACTAACGTATCATTCTTTTGGCAAGGCAATCAAAGATTTTAAATGATAGAATGTAGAGTTATTAAGTAACTTACAGGGATTTATAGACCCAAATTTTACAGATATTGGTCCACAAATAAGGGTTTCACACATGTTTTAACAGGAATTTGTACGGAAAAAATTTTTTGACCCTTAATTTAACTGGTTTATGTCCGGAAAAAAAATTTTCAACCTCCCCAACCCCCCCGCTCGCCAACATTTTTGGGAAAAATAGTGGCCTAAAAAAAGATTTTGCTGCAGGGCATCATCGGCTTTTGCAGGGCAATTCTAGCAGACACCCCCTAATTAAAAGGGGCTAGTTTCGCCCCTGGTTTAAAGCATAAGAATTGCCCCTTTAAGGCGCAAACCATGATAAAGTAGGGCAGGCATTGCAACTTAATGGGATAAAATTAGTTAACGCCATAGCTGTTTAAAGTAAGGGGTCATCTAACCTATTAATACTAACACAACTGATGAATAATATCAGTGGTCCATTGGGTGAGACATGCAGATTTTTAAGTCAAAATTTTTTTAATAATCTGTCAAAATAAAAATAAAAATTTTAATCTGTCAAAATTCAAATTTGGAGTTCAAGGTACATACATAAAGAAACGGAGTTTCATTGACTTTTGAGATTTTTGAAAAGGTGGCCAAAATTCGACGAAACGTTAAGGGCTTGGGCTAGTCTTGAGCCTCTGTCCCACTTTAAAGTGGCCAAATCAGTTAAGAAAACCTTATAAGGGTTAGTTTAGACTTGCCAGAAGTGCGCCTCGGAATTTTTCCCTAGCTTTTTTGAGTGAGTAAAATCCACTGGGAAAAAATGTGAAATCCATACTGTGAAATTTGCAATTGCACCACTAAATTCATAGTATATTCATACTATTTCCATACCATAGCCATAGTATGGAAATATACATGGGTAATGAAAATCGATTCTATTTCCAAAAAAGGTCCATACAATTTCCATTCAATGGATTTTCAAAAATTTTTCCCGTGGTCAAGATGAGCAGTTTACGTTAGAGCCTTATCTTTTGGTCGTTCATGGCCACCTCACTTTTCAAAAACATCGAACATGGGCGACAATTTAAGGTGTCAGCCATTATTTTTATCCTATCACAGAATTATCAGTAATCGATTTTGGCCAGTTTTAATAAAATAATCGAACGACAAACGTGGGCAATATCGAGAAAAAGCAAAAGCTAACCCCATAACATTTTGTTGATTTTTTGACGAATTTTGAGGTTTTAGAAGTTATTACTTAACAGTAAATTAAAGGTTAAATTAAGTTAAAGCTAGATGAATCCTCTATAATTAATTTAAAGACCTGATTTCATCGGGGAAGGCTGATTGCAATAGACAGTTCCCGAAATGAAAACTACTTATTTATATTGTCCCTCAAGCAAATTCTGGGAAAGTCGACATTAATAAGGAAGTGGAAGACGAAAATGTAAAAGAAGAGGACCATATATGGCATATAATTTTATGCATATAATTTTATGTTGGCATATAAATTTATGATCTCCGGTTCTCCTTGCGTTCTTAACTTCTTTAACTCTTAAGCTTGAAATTAGTTTGCACAAATAAACTGTCAATTACTGGACTATCACTGTTTTAAAACATATTATTTTATAAATGTCGTTTATGTGGTGGGCAAAGCTGTGTGTAATCTTATATACATCAGGTGAGAAAATTTTTATAATTTGTTGAGGTACATGGAACAACAAAAGTAATAAATAGATTAGTTTCACCAAACGAATGTCATCATTGCAAAGAAATCGTTTCTACAAATATGCAAGGCTTGATCATGGCTATTGATACAATGAAATCATTGCGTATAGAATTCAAATGTAGAGCGGTCAACAATTTTCCTCCAGGGAGGGTGTATAGCGCGTTCGCTTAAATCAATCTCAAAACCATATCTTTCTCTCTGCGCAACTATCAACAATTGTTAAGGCTTTTGATAAAATCTCAAGAAGACCGAAACGTTCTGAAAACAAAGAGGCAATCATAGTGCCTAAAATGGAAACCAATTATATTTGGCTCGTTATCAAGTTTTTATAACTATTGTAACTAATTGTTACTTTTTGTTAGTGAGATGGCTGCCAAATAAAGTGAAACCATATATACACAACGGACACCTTAAAGTCTGGCTTCTATTTGGTCGTGACTGTTGTGAACATATTAGATAGCTTTAGCAGCGGCTACGAGTACGAGATTTGGTGGCGTGCGAGGAAGTCGTTCCCGTTTCCGTTCAAATGTTGCTTTAGCAGTAATTCCAGTAAACAAACAATTATACGAGAAATAAAATTTCAAACTAAATCTCATGTATTCTAAACTACCCTACAAAACTACCCCCTTCTATGAGGAACAATACACGAATTAGGAATAAGTGGGGTTAAAAACAACAATTTGTGTAGAGAACTTAGGGTATACTGCATGATTGGAACTTCAAGTTTAATAACATACGATTCTGCGTTGGAAACAAGAATATAGCCGGTTCTGGAGCAGCTCTTGGAATACTTTCCCAAGACAAAAGTTTCGCCAACCAAACCAACTGTCACTCAGGGATTTTAAGAGCTTTTATTAAAAGAGTATTATTCCAAGAAAATATAGCAGTAACTGGAAGTGTTTTGTTTGTGTCAGGCGGCGAAGTGATATTAACGAAGTATACGTTTTTGAATAATTTTGCACGTTTCCAAGGCAGTCAAATTGTTAGCCTCGCGCATGACTCTAGTCCTGATCTGGTTGTAGTCGATTCGGTGTTTAATAAACAAACAATTCAAAAAATTAATAAACAGGAATTCATGGACACTTCATACCTAAGGTTATACAACTCTGGTATACTATCTATTTACAACACAACATTCAAAAAATAGGATGAATCACTCATTCTGGTCTTCAAAGCACTTGCCCAGTGGGTCATGCCATTGGAAAGACTATTTATTCTTACTTCGGCAGTAATGTTCATTTTCTTGTCTGAACCTCGTACTCATCCTCGTACCCAGGGTCTTTTTGGGAAAGACCCTGGTATTGTCTGGTCACGTGACTCTACAAAAATTAACTG